ATCTCGGCTCGACTGGACAGGAAATTCGAACTCATCATCTCGAGCGGCACTCGAGCCTAGGCTGTGGCCTTACAGAGCATACATTCTTAATACGTCAACTATTACGCCACACTGACACAAGTGGCCTAGGTCCATAGGGAAGAAGTGAATTTCATGGAAGGGCGGCACTTTCGCATATCACTTTCTATGCTCGGAGTGCGATGAAGCAAACTTGTATTTGTTATATCATTCTACTACGGAGCTTAATATAATTTATTTTGTGGCATTTCGAGTCTATCAGTAGATCTTCAACAAGGATTGTATTCCAATGACTGTCTTAAAAACCTACATAAAGTGAAACAGAAAACATCCTGCCTTCCTTGAAATGCACATCTGTCCTGCGATCTGAGAACACAGGCAGCAGTGTTGCGTACTGGTCAACTTATCGAGACCTAATCCTGCACGACCAAGAACCGAGTTCGAGCCTAGCCTCCTGGGCTGATGAGTGTTAGGCGAGGTTAAGACTGCACTTTTGTCGAGCGTGGATTCCATGGGAATGAGAGGCCTATTTACATCATTGTTGGAAAATTCAACTATCAATCCTTTATCCTCTTGAAAGAAATAGGGTGAATACAACCCTTAACGGGGTTGCTTCAAGACGAATACTTTCTATCCGTATAAGTATAAATGTACTGAGTATTATGAAATGTGTTCATTCTATTTTTTGAATGTGATGAAGGATCGGTATATGAGATGTATGCTAGTCTCAAAACTCTACTTCTAAACTGGAATGAGAGATTGGTCGTTGAAGTATCCCACAATCATGTGAGTATATTATACGCTTTCATTAAATTTCATACAGTCTAGCTTCCCGAAATGGTATTCTTATCTCGACACGTTAACTGCTATGCTACATTGCCACAATATTGGGTGGGATTTTCGAGGAAGCAATATTATATTTGCTATAACAATCGACTACATTACTTATTTTTCGTATTAAAGTAGGGTTTTTAGATTATTATTTGGATCTCATCCTACATTCCATACACTTGGTTGAGCTTTTCATTGTTTCGCTACAGACATGGAGTATATTTTGAGACTGTCAGTAGACCTTAATTAACACATTTATTCACTTATTCTGGCTTAATGTGATTTGATAGAGGCCTGGTTTGCACTGAGAGTCACATCTCTCGTCGGATCGGCTGGCAGCTACACATGGCTGTCTGATTTGGTTGCGACATGTGTCTCTACTTGACACGCATCTATTGGTTTAAAATCCCATTGGTGGTGTTGGTGCGGCAGAGAGGCGAGTTCAGATCTATACTTCAGCCCGAATAATAAATACTATTGGATATTTCATTATGGGAATTGTGAACATCCAACCTTATCATGGTCTATGTTGGCTCAACTTTTTATTGAAGATTATTAATATGTGCCAGTTTACACGTTATATGTCAAAGACGACTTGATTTTGACCCTGAATTTTACTGTGCCATGTAGATAAAATTGCATCGAAATTCACTTCAATCGCTAAAGTCAAAACTACTCGATTTATTCTGACATGACATTTTATTTCGAAAGACAATATGGGTGGAAGCAATGAATGATTTGGTAACGCCGGAAGTGAAAAGAGGATTACCATGAAGTAAATATAGTTGGATTGAGCAAAGCAGTCCTCAGCTCACCGTCTTCCAACCGTCTGTATCACCGTGGCAGACGTCATCAAAGCGAGAGATCAGAGTTTACAAAACAAATTTATCTGAAATACTAAGCCAAGAAACACTGTTTTTTCATATAAAACTCTGTGAAATTGGTTGTTTATGCAGGCAATTATGAAGGTAGATGGGTGAGCAGACAGATAAGCTGGTTGGTGGTAGGTTGTGCATGCAAATTTATGTATAAGTTGGTTGGTAGGTGGTCGATGGGATATGTGGTTTGCCCGCAGTCTGCAGGTGGGAAAGCTGTAAGTAGACAGCCCCATAGCTTTGTAGGCATGGATAGATGGACTGAGAGGGGCGGGTACTTGTATTTTGTCCGCTATTTAGATGCCAATAGGGATAATTTCATGTTTTGGTGTCTATCTTTCCTACTTTGGTTGAAGCGTTTGCTTTATTTTAGGATTGAATTTCACACTTGTCTGCTAGAAATGTAATATTTTTCAGTAATTTTGTCAGCAAATTCTACCAGATCTACTCACATCTTGACTAGGTCTGAGAAGCATCTGGTGTTCTTTTTACATTTTGTTTGCTGGTTGGCATGGACCTTTAGTGCTAACACATATCGCAGGCAATCTGGGCAAGTTCTCTCGGCCTCTTGGTTTGTCGTTTCACAGAAACCACCGGTCTCCGTGGCGATTAGGTGAAGACCGACGCAACGACAAGCCAGACTTTCGGACTGACGAGGCAATAGATGTGGATGCGGAGGGTGAGTCGCGTCCTTGCCACGATTCCTCTTTTTCACCCACCCCGCCATGAGGCAACGAGTGTGTCTGCCAGCGGTTCAGGTGGACGATCACATGCGCAAGATGGCCGAATGGCATTTCCTACAAAGTAGAGAGCAGTGTTGGGGGCAACAACCAACTCCCCATTCACACCTACACGGAACTGATGTCTTTAGAGGTTGTTTGACTGCATTACAATAAAGCAGACTCTGATCAACATTCACTGCTCAAGGATGAAATGGGGGGTGAAGGTTTAATGTCGCTCAAAAGAGCACACCACACTAGATCTAAATAAACAGGGTAAACATGGTAATAGTGAAGGGATGAAAGGATGATACAGGAAACACGAATGACCTAGGGCAGAAGGGGAGATACCAAAATTATTGAGCATACGTTTTGTCAAAGGATCGGCTTCACTTGTGTCTATGACGAGTTGTTGTGTGGTGCTAAGAATGACCATGCTCACTGACGATGCCGACGAAACGTTTGGGAATGTACCACGTCCACGGTTCGGCTTTGGAAATGAGCATGCAAACAATGGACTCCTGACTAGTTGCTTTCATCTAAGTCTTCATACCAATCGGACCATGTTGCAAAAACAAGGTCAAATAATTGTGGCATGTGACGGACGAAAGCTTAGCACGTTTTCACCGGAATCGAAAGAGATTGCCTCGGAAACAGCATCAGCATGAATCTTCCAGTAAAGCCAATCGACA